ATTCAAGTTGCTTCTCCAAACCACCGTGACTGCCGTGTCACCAGACATTCTCTCACCCTGTCTGTTCTGCATCATTGTGTCACCTTGCTGTTACTGAAAATGTCCTTTCTGGGGGGCGCCGAGTGCTCGACAGCGGGCAATCCACTGACCCAGTTCAAAAACCATGTACAGAGCGACAATTCCCTGCAACGGGATCGCCTCGTCGGGCGGGGGCCTGGTGGGCTTGAAGAGAGCATGCGCTCTCGGATGTCCCCAAATGGTTCTGATCAGGTATGAACTCTTCAGCATTGAGAGGGGAACTTCCTAACATGAGTATAGATGATGAACGACTTTATGCAGCAATCCAATCCAATGCCCCAGCCCTTCGCCATGGAGCAGCTGCGACAAGACCTCCCTGGCCTCCAGGGGATCACGAGGCGGTCACCTTCGCCCGGTTGGGCTGCCGAGTTCGATCCCGGTGAACAAGCAAGAATGGAAGCAGCCTTTGCAAATTCAAAGCTGGCCGCACAGAGACCCAACGGCTTCTCGCCCCAAGACTTTGCGCACTTCCAACAGCCTGGCGCTCCACGAACGTCAAGCCCCATCACCCATACACCGTCCATGATGAATAGCTACCAGAGACCGATGGGTATGGGGTACATGGGCGGTATGAATATGGGCATGAACATCGGCTCATTTCAAATGCAACAGCCGGAGCAAAGCATGGACAAAGGGAAGGGTCGAATGGTGGAACTTGACGATGCCAATTGGGAGGCTCACTTCAAGGAACTGGAGTCACAACAAGACAACTTATCAGAACAAGCCAACCAAGCCATGGAGAAAGAACTTGAGGAAATGGACAGGTTAGTATTATGAAGAGGTCAAACCCGTCTGACAGGGGACCAAAGCTAAACGTGCACCCAGACAAATGACTGAAGACGCCGTCGAATTCGACAATGCCTTCTCTGCCGAGGATTTTGCCGCCTGGGAGAATTTTGATTCCAACATGGGGCTCAACACTCATCATCCGTATGAACGAGAACCCATGCTCGGAGATTACATGTTCGAAGAACAGAACCCCTTTCAAGAAAAACAGACGTCGAGGTCTCCATTCGAAGAAGGCAAGCAGATACTCGAGTCGCACGGCAATTTGTCGCTAGCGGCGTTAGCATTTGAAGCAGCCGTCCAACAAGATCCCAACCATGTCGAAGCATGGGTACTGCTAGGAGCAGCCCAGGCACAAAATGAAAAAGAGTCTCCCGCGATACGCGCACTCGAGAAGGCACTTCAACTTGATCCTAACAACCTTGACGCTCTCATGGGCCTGGCCGTATCGTACACCAATGAAGGATACGACAGCACGGCCTACAGAACACTAGAACGGTGGTTAAGTGTCAAATACCCTCAGATTCATCCTCCCCAGAATCTTTCCGATCCCGCAGAAGTCGGCTTTACCGACCGACAGGTTCTGCATGAAAGAGTGGCCGATCTTTTTATCAAGGCTGCTCAGCTGTCACCGTCAGGCGAACACATGGACCCGGACGTGCAAGTCGGCCTCGGCGTTCTCTTTTATGGGAATGAGGACTTCGAGAAAGCCGTGGACTGCTTCAAAGCGGCTCTTGCGTCAACGGAAAGCGGTATCGTCAACCGCGAAAGCCAGGTGCACCTGCTATGGAACCGGTTAGGCGCAACACTCGCGAATTCGGGTCGATCAGAAGACGCCATCACGGCATATTGCAAGGCGCTGGAGGTGAACCCTAACTTTGTTCGAGCTCGATATAATCTGGGTGTTTCCTGTATAAATATTGGCTGCTACCCAGAGGCAGCTGGGCATCTACTGGGCGCGCTGAATCTACACCGGATCGTGGGCGAACAGGGTTTGGACAAGGCACGAGAGATTGTAGGAGATGGCAATGCAGGTATTGGAGATGCCGAACTGGAACGGATGATACAGCAGAACGAAAGCTCGAATCTTTACGACACGCTACGAAGGGCATTTACTGGCATGGGCAGGAGGGACCTGACCGAAAAGGTTGGAACCGGCATGAACTTGGATCAATTCAGGCCGGAATTTGAGTTCTGAAGAGCTCAAGGTATCAAAAGTCATAGATGAGACACGAAGATATATTTCTTGTTCTTGTCGGGTACGAGTAGTACTCCATACAAGCCGCAGTGCTCGTCACCCCAGCCTCGTCCGTGGGTGACTGCCATTATTGGCCAGCCTTGCGCCAAGCCCCCGTCCTGCTGCGTTGACTGATCGAGCAGTCGCCAGAGCTGATATTCTGGACCTCTGCATGGAGGTTGCCATCCTGATCCTTCCCGTCTTAGTCGCATCGTTGTCACGAGTACCACACAGGTTGCGAGATGAAACAAAATCAAAAGTAGAAATTGTTGGTGGGTGCATTGGAGGCAGGGACGAGCTCAGGGCGGCATCACCCTAGGCCGGAAGCGGGGTGAACGGCCTACAGTTCTCCCTCACTTTGGCGAACTGAGCAGCCGTGACCAGACCACCCAACCTCGGACAGTCCCCCCCAAGTCCTCTTCTATTGCCTAGAACCCTGTGCTCCCGATCGTATGGACTAGTGTGGCCACACTTGCTGCGGTCTCCGGCGCTCACTGCACTGTCACGGGTATTGACCACAGCTAGACCATGGACGACCATGGCGAGTTCGACAGTGTCTCATGGCAGCGCGAAGATGCAGCGCAGGCTGAGTCCTCGGCTCCCTTCCATTCAACTCTGCCAGAGCGATATGCCAGCGGGCGCCGAAGTGATAGCTTGTCCCGTGAACCACAAGCCGGGGACCAAGAAGACCCGGTCGACTTAGCAGGCATCGGCCGCGACGGCGTACTGGAAGTCACTGTTGATACCCCTCTCAAAGAGAATGATGGTACAAAGGATGCATATGTCTCCTACCTCGTCACGACTCATGTAAGACGTCCAGCGCACATCAGATGCACCCCAAGCTGACTCACCGCGCAGACAGACTTCAAGTCGTTCCAAAAGGCCGACTTCAGTGTCCGCCGACGCTTCACTGACTTCGTCTTCCTGCGCCAGTCGTTACACCGAGACTACCAGGCATGCGCAATCCCTCCCCTCCCCGAGAAGAACAACATGGCCTATGTTAGAGGAGACCGCTTCAGTTCAGAGTTCACTCAACGGCGAGCATGGTCACTACATCGCTTCCTGAAACGGTGCACTCTTCACCCGGTTCTGCGGAGGGCACCCATATTAATCCTCTTCCTGGAGACTGCCGATTGGAACGCCCAAATGCGCTTGAGACCTACAAGAAGCAATACCCTCGGGGAAAGCAGTGCGCCCAATGCAGCCGCCCCCACAGGCTTCTTCGATAATGTCGCAGATACCATGTTAAACGCTTTCTCCAAGGTCCACAAGCCTGACAAGCGCTTCATTGAGGTAACGGAACGAGCCAACAAGCTAGATGAGGATCTCTCTCATGTCGAAAAGATCATCGCCCGGGTAGCTCGCAGAGAAGGAGATCTGGAAACAGACTATGCCGACCTCGCGAACAACATGCGCAGACTTACTCCACTAGAGCCAGCCATCGAAGCCCCGTTACAAACCTTTGCCGGCTGTGTGGAAGAATCCTCGCGGGGCTGGAAACAGCTCAAAGACCACACAGATCAGAATTATCTCGGCTCACTGAGGGACATGGAAGCTTATATCAACTCGGTCAAATCCCTCCTAAAGACCCGAGAGCAAAAGCAGCTCGACTTCGAGGGACTAACCGAATATTTGCAAAAAGCCACGTCGGAGCGAGACATCCTAGCTTCCAATAATCCATATTCGCATGGCAGCAACCTCAATCCAGCAACATTCATCCGCAACAAAGTGGAAGACATGCGCGGTGTCGATCACGAATCCGCCCGCCGGGAACGGGCTCGAAAACTTGAACTCAAGATTGCGGAACTGAACCGGGAGGTCGATAGCGCAAAAAGCACGAGTGAAATGTTTGACGAGCAGGTCGTACGGGAAGTGGCTGATTTTGAGAGGATCAAAGGATTGGAATTCAGGGACAGCCTGGGCGCGCTCGCGAATCAGCACATTGAGTTTTACCAGAGTGTCATATCGACGTGGGAGAGGTTTTTGATCGACATGGATGCGGACAAGCACCTCCACAAGGATAAGGGGAGGGCTACGGCGTGATGATGGATTTCATGGGAGGGACTTTTCAGGCTCTGAACCAAAGTGCCAGAACACTCTGGCGGGCATGTATCCATCCGCCGTTCTTTGCAGCATGAAGCTTAATAATGCAGCAGTGTCTAGTCACAATCATCCAGTCCCTTGATGGCAATAACAGCACCCCGGTGTCAATTGCGCAGTAGACCTGTACTTCATGTTCACCAAAATCTCCAAGTCCGGCTCTGCACGGGGCGGAATGAGACCCCAGCTTGACCCGGAAGGGGGGAGATCTACCATAGCACCGACATTTATTTGCTCTAATTACAACTACAAATGGAATGCTAATGGTGATGGTGATTGTGCGAGCAATTCACCTCAAGATGAAGAATCACAGTAGTATACTTGTCAGGGAGGTCGGACGGATGGGTAAGAATGAGGGAAAGGGTGTGCATATGTATGTATGACATATGTGTATATGCTCAAAGCCAAGGTCATAGACGCGGGATGTGCTTCCTGCGTAGGTGGGCTCTCACCAGGGTTGTCAGGCAGGCTCTCGGACAGGCAGCAAGCTGCTAACTGTCGTGGTCATGACGATACCGTGGCAATGTTACCGAAGTCGGGAATAAAGGGGCGGCAGGGGAGATGTTGATACCTTGTTGTATCTAAGATGTAGATCGACACGGCGGGCAGGGTGAAGTGGGCAGAGGCATGTCCAGCGACTCAGACATACGGTGGCCAGCCAAATTGACCAACAGAGATGAGAGATTAGACCAAGAAAGAGAGAGCATTGCGGCGAGGACCAAAAAAGGAACACTCGAACCTCTGACCAGAGCAGCAGATATACTTATCCTTACTCCCCAAGCCAAAAAGGTCATCATTGCAGCCAGAGCCTGATTCGAACAGGCCACCTCACGCCTTTACTTTGCATTTTTGCGTTGTTTAGTTGCATTACCTTTTGTAATGTTTCTTAAAACATTGCTTTTTTTGCACAGAAGGGCGATGTTCTACCACTGAACTACCTGGCCTTCAGGTAATCAGCAGCTCTGCTCGGCTGCGGGCAGAGTTGCTGATTCTTGGTAGATATTCAATCTTTCTCCATGATATTTGTTGAAATCTGGAATAAGGGCCGTGCGTGATTGGGTCGAGAGGCCTGCGGTCTCGCAGCTGTGGCCTGAATGGAAAGTGACTCACGAGGATGGGTTATACTTTGGGTGCGAGCGGATCGATAGGTTGTCCCAGGAAATACCACACCGACGGTGTGGTAAAGGTGCTGATTGGAGGAACAAACCAAGTCCCTCCTCGTGGGTAGAAAGGGACTCAATTGCGGAGGTGGCATTTTGTTGGATCGAATTATTGAACTATGTTCGGAAGCAGCGCTGAGTGCTTCGCGAGCCGCAGAAGACGTGGCGTTCCGGCGTCTTGCCAGTTCGCACCAAATTCGTTAAGGACGAGGCAGCGTAAAGCGAATGCCATGAGGCCACGTTCTCTCTTGCCGATATGCTATCAAGGTGACTTCCGAAAGGGCTCCTGCTGCCGTGCACGCTTTGGTGGTCGCTTGAAGTAGGCAGTTTAAGAACGACTACCTACTAGGGTAAGCTGAACGTACGTGACTTCCAAATGAGGGTCACCATGTCAGGAATAGAGCTCTTGCTCGCGCCATGGCTTGGAGCAAAGAAATGACGGAGCATGAGCTGCTCCTACCGACTGAAACTTGCCTCTACCTTCCTCGTTCCCTCGCTGCCGCAGAGCAGAGAAACCTGTGGAACTTGAGCGGTCTGGAGGGAGAATAGTCCATCCGCGGTCGACATGATTCGGCCTCCCGGCCTCGCACAAACTTAGCCTTTGAATGTGATACCAGTGAAGATAACAGTTGAAGTTTGCCTGTTGGATTCAGGGAGCGCACCTTGATGTGAGGCTGGATCACTAAAGTCAAGACTTTGTCTTGGCGACTTTCCGAACTCTCACCAAACATTGTGATTGGTTGCCAGTCAGCCTTGCGCCAACACGAGGCTGAGCTGGCTGTCAAAGCCGCAGCTCGCTCCGGCTAAACGTCGGGGTTTTTGGCGTGTTCGTCTCGTCTCCATGTTGAACAGCAAAAGACTGGAGATTGGTTGACGCTACAACCGTGAAAGCAAAGCACCATGGCTGTGAGCAAGAAATACGCTGGCCTGCCCGACTTGGTATGCTTCTCTCGGGTCTGAAAGTCTGCCTACAGGGACTGTCCTAATCGTTGTACTATTGCAGGACGCTGCCCCCGAAGTCTACGAAACCCCCGACCTTGCAGACGATGTCTCAACAGTACCCACGGGCACAGTACGGACCGGCTCCCCCTCCCCATCGTCAGGAGATGAAGTCCGCCCCGGCTTGGACCGCCAACCACTTGACCGCGATGGCGCAAGACGGCGCTTCGAACCATCTCTTGTCGACGCTAGAGATGTGGACTTCTCAGATTCCATTGGGGGAACAAGACGCGCGTATCGGACGCGTAGTTCCAGGCGACGAAGGAGGAGGGGACTGGAGAATGGCGGAGAAGAGGTTGGGGACTTGAGCGACAGCGAGGAGGAGACGCTTCCGACCAAGTTGGCCAGGTTAAAGAGGGAGGCCGAGGAAGTCAGGCTGGAGTTGGAGAGAAGAGAGAGGGAGAGGGACGAAGACGCAGAGTTCCAGGACAGTGTCGAGCAGCAAGCGCAACGGAAGGAGGACGAAGAAGATGTGGACGTTGACGGCGTACACGAACTCAGTCGTGTCCTGGATGGGCTGAGCACGAAAGCACGGCTGAAGACTGGCGGCTCGGTCGAGGACCAGTTCCTGTCGAGGATGACCTCGACCGCCCGACAACGCCAGCACCAGCACCAAGATGTCAATACACTACCGCAATCTGGTACAGATTTAGCAGCAAAATCTGCTCCGACAACCCTCTCTGCAGTGGCCGACTTCTCAGACCGGCTCACCGCCCTCGAGTCCGCCTTAGGCGTCTCCTCCATGAGCCCTACATCCCAAACCTCTGCCATTTTACCAACGCTGGCAAGCCTCTCCACACAAATTACCACTTTATCTGCAACGCTCGCACCCGAATCCAGCGCTTCAGCTACCTCGCAACCCCAATCCCGACCCAACGTTGCCTACCTCGACACAATCTCCAACAAACTGAAGACTCTCATCGCAGAATCTGACCGGCTCTCCCAATCGCGGAAAGCAGCCCTGGCCTCCCTCGCCGACCTGCATGAAAAACGTATGCAACAGCTCGTCTCCGGCGCAAGCGTGCATGCAAATTCCCGCTCTGCACGCATGCGAGGTTTATCCACGACTAGCAGCACTGCTAACGCTCACGCCAACAGTGAGGGAAGGGTCGACGGCGCGACTGGCCCGGGCGGGGAATCCCTCCAGATTCAATCCCAGTTGTTTTTGGATGAGCAGGCCAGCAAGATCACAGCCCTGTATCATCTACTGCCAAGTATTCAGGAGCTGCAGCCTCTGTTGCCAGTGGTGCTGGAGAGGTTGAGGACGTTGAATGTGCTGCATAATGGAGCCGCGCAGGCAAAAGGGCTGATTGATGAGCTAGAGACTCGACAAAGGGAGATGAAGGACGAAGTGGCGAAGTGGAGAGACGCGGTCGAGCACGTAGAGAAAGGGATCAAGGAGGCTGAGGACGTCATGAAGAGTAACGTCGATGTGATTGGGGGTCGGGTAAGGGACGTAGAGGAGAGGGTCGGACGGCTAGGACAAGGGAGGTAGCTGGCTGGCTGGCTGACACTTCCCTTCATTTTGGTCGAGGCGGTTCCCGTCTAGGAAAAGATTGAAAACCGATATATACTGATGGAGACATGGATGGGAACAAAGAGAGATATCGTCGTCAATTGTCCTTTTCTTCCCACTTTCTCTACGGCACCATCGCCCCTTCCGCCCTCTTCAAGATGTACAGCTTCGTCTCCAGCCCCCAATGCACCCACCAGCCCATCGTCAGACTCACCCTCCGTCCCAGGATCCTCTCGAGCCCGTACCCTTCCCTGACCACATCGTGCAGGACACCATACACCTGCTTCGCCCATCCACCATACATGGCATCCAGCAGCTGGGCCAACCCATCATGGTCGCGCCTCTCCTCTTTCGCACCCAACACCAACAACCCCCTCCCCACGTCTGGTCTCACAGCCCTCGGCCGGCCCAGGCCGGGGACTCGATCGACGACATCCCACCGGCCGATCACGAGGCCTGGGTCCTCCACCACGACGTAGTCGAACTGGGCCCAGAACGTCGGGGTCAGGAACTTGGTCTGGTTGTCCGACTTGTCGTACCACCACTGCGTGCGTGTCTTGGACGAGAGCGCCGGGATCGTCCCGTCGGCCGAGCCGGGGAAGTAGAGCACCGGTCTGGCGTGGCCTGTCAGCGTGGTGGCCGACGAAGAGGATGTGTCGGAGAACGAAGGCGTCGACAGGAAATGCGTCACGCCCGTCTGGAGCGCCAGGTTCGTGAGATAGACGCGGACGGTCGGCTGGGCCGGGTAAGCCAGCGACAGCGAGTGTAGGGACGAGAGGGCGTTCGCGCCAGGATACGTCTGTGCCGAGAGCGGCAGGAAGATGCCGTGGGAGAAGAGCGCCGTGCATGCCGTGCTGAGGACGAGCAAAATGCTGAGCAGGCGGCAAGTCAGATATCGGTCCCGGCGGTTGTAGATGTAGTCCGCTGTACGGGCCATTGCGGCCGTCAGGGGCGGAATCACGGGGAACAAGAAGCGCGTCTCCTTGTGCGCGAGCGCAGAGTACACGGCTATGTAGCCCAGCGATGGGGCCACAAGGTCCAGATTTGACATCCCCAGCCCGGGCAGCGTGAGACTCCACGGAATAAGCGGCAGGAGGAGCGGGTTCACGACGAGCCGCGGCAGCGCCGACGTGAAATACCAGTGCCAGGGGCTTGTTCCCCAGGCCGAAGCACCGAGTCCGCTGTCCTTGGGGAACACATTGGCCAGGAAGGCCGCCAGTTCAGGCCAGAGCAGCCGGCGGGACTGCCAGAAATACGTGTCGATGGAGACCGTCAGGATGAGACCAGCCACTGTCGCAGTCAGGACGGCCGGGACGAAGACCCTGCGGAGGAGAGCGAGGGCAGAGGCCATGTTCCCGCCCGTGCGGACGAGCATGTACACGCACTGCGATGCCAGGAGGAGGGCGAGCTCCGCGCGGAAAATGATCCCCGCCAGCGTGAGCAGGTAGAGCGCCAGCCTCGTCCGCTTGACCCGCGTCTCCGTGCCCGCGGGGGTGACGGGGAGGAGTAGCGAGAGGGCGACCGTGCTGAGGCCAAAGGCGAACATGTTGGGCAGGGTCCGCGATGCATAGTACCAGACGTGGAACTGACTGGCTTGGAGGATCCCGTACCATGCTGCTGCCGAAGTGCCGTACGCTCGACGCACCGCAGACGCGTAAGTCACCAGCGCCGCGGCGTTCAACAAGCCCAAGATACCGCGCACTGGATGGGGTGGTAAACCTCGCTGGTTAGCTATGCAAAGCGCTCTCCCTGGAGTTTCCACTGTTCCAGTGTTCTTCGCTCACCTAGCATCTGTTGGGACAGGCCGTCGCCGACGATGCCGCGGAACCACACGATTGGCTTCGCTATGGCCGCCAACGTCATCGCCCCGATGAATGTCCTGGGCACCGCGCCGGGGAATGTCATGTGGTCATATAGTGTCTTGATCCTGAGATGGGCGTCGTGGCCCAGGGGTACGCCATACTGTAAGATGTCGTGGGCCGCTTGGATGTTGAACGACTCCTCGACTTTCGTGTAGGGCGCGATGTATAAGTGTATAGCGACAAAAAGGGGGAAAACGACGACAACGAACAATGACGCTCCCCAAGGAGCCATTTTGGCGTGTGAGGTGGAGAGGAGGGTCGAAATGAGGAAGAACATGGCTACGTAACTTTGTGATGGTCTTGTAAGGGGTACCTGCTCCACTATGGAGTATGGCAAGGCTGCCATTCAGCCTTACACAGACTTAACTATTCGAGCCGCATCACCTACCAACTCGGGAGTCGCCAGT